TGGTGTAGCTGGTGAGATGACTGGAGGGCAGTAGCCAAGAGTAGCCAGAAGGGGCAGGTCCGCAGGTCCCCGGTGTTTGCATGAAGTTCTGCTCTGATTGTACCTGATTACTAGGTGAGACAAGCCAGTGTTCAGAGGAGAGTTCTCTGATTACAACTCGTAAAGGATAAATGATCCCACTTCATTCCTTCATGCTATAAGAAGGAATTAACATTTAAAAGAAGAAACTTGAAGTACTTTGAAATAAAAATATATTAAGCATATGTGATTTTTTTTAAAAAAATGAAATTGGCATATCTTTATTTACCCTATTTTTTTTTTTTTTTGGTCTTCCATAATGCTATAATAAGTGTGAATTCTTTTGTATTCATGATGCCAGGACATGACTTAGAATGTTGGGCCCCAGAATGTGATCTGTGTATTGAAAATATCCATTTTCCTAGTAACTGGGTAAAACTTAAAGAAGAATCCTGTACTTCAAGGTGGAACGTGGAACACAAAGAATGTTTAGAAAATGCAGTTTGAGCTTATGCCCGTAGGGTATATTCTCAGATATTTGCTTAAGACAAAGAAAATAGTTTTTTTCAAAAGGCTTTCTTTCTGCTTGTGCTTCTAGCATGTAGTCTATATTAAATTGGAAAAAGTCATCCACTTCTGATCTTTAGTAGAAAAGAATTCACTGCAGGCACAATTTCTTTGACTGTATCTGCTTGTTTTGATACTGTTGGTAACCTTTTACCCACCTTACCAAAGAAAGGGGGCAAAACCCAGGAGCCAGACAGAGTCCAGATGGTTAGAGGAGAAAATCAGAGAAAACACTTGATTCAAAACCACCCATCAATACCGAGCCATCACTGAATTCTTTTTTGGAAGGATGTCTCTGAATTCTGCCATTCCTTCTGGGAAAGAGCATTAGAGTTCCCTGATAGCTCATCACGACTGGTGCCCTTTGCTACCATGGCTGCACTGCGCTGCTCTCCTGGGGAGCACATACCTGTCACCCCAAACCCAGTGGGTAGCTGGAATTATATTGATATAGGATATGTCCTTTTGCTCTAAAAGTACGTAAGTTCCATCTAAAAAGGAACTATGAGACATGTCTCCAACTTAAGGCCTGGGGACAGAGGAGATACAAGACAAATATTTGTTGACTTGAAATGAAAAGATTACTTTATAGCCATGAATCTTCAAGTGTACGGAAGGGCCTATCAGAAAGTTTATGTTAACAGGAGGAGGAGGAGTTTTCATGCTTGCTGGGTACTGTCTGCAGTTCTGCCTAGGAGATGGGTTGTAGAGAAAAGGCCCATTGCCGCCCCCCCACGCACACATTCGACCTTTTTTAAATTCTGACCCACATGCTGAGAAAGGATCTGCATTACTCTCAGGTTGCTGACCACCTGTTTACGTTTTGTTACTGCTTCTTTGCCTTTGATTTTTGGCAGCTGTCTCTCCAGAATTAGGCATGAGTAGTTTGGGGAAAAAAATTAAATGAATTTCAAAATTCTTCTTTTGCAGGCTGTAGTACTTATTACTGTTTAATAAAGCAGGGATTAGTCTCTAACATTCTACTTGGAAAGTAAGTTAAAAGGCACTTTTGTATCAGCAGTAATTAAATTGAGAAGATTTAGTTTGGGAAGATATTCTTAAAAGCAGCACGGGATTTTTTTTTTTTTTTTTAACAGAAGCATAGATTCAGATTTTAGTTTCCTAATAGCACCCCTCCCCCCCAATTGAGTACATAGACAGAGGCATGTGCACCAAGGTGAACTTTACCCAGTGGTCATCTACAAAGCCTTGAGGCCTAGCACAGTGTTGTAACTCTAAAGCTTTCTGAGAATGTGAGATCTCAGTCCTCAGATAGCTATTTTAAAACAAGTTATTTTTGTGGTGTTTTCTTTGCCCCAGTGGGGTCTCCCTTCTCAGTTTAGCAGTATGTCAGAAATACTTTAAAAGACTAGCAGATGTTTGGGTTAATAAAAACCATGTTTATCTTCTTTGGGGCTATGATGCATTCTTGCTGTGATTTCTTTTTTTTTTTTTTTTTTT